AACAAACCACTGTAGTGGCATTGCAGATGGTTCAGACAAGAGGATGTAGTATGGCAGAACTCTACTCTGAGAACAAATACTCCTCTCTACTCTAGAAATTGGAAATGGTGCTGATACGAGAGGCTGTGTAACTTCAGGCAGGAGTTCCTTTTCAAGGAAAGTTACCAGTTAACTGTGGATGATTTATGTCTGGTTTGTACTCATCAGCAGCATAACTGGGGTTTACAGATTAGAGTTTTCAGGACTCTGTCTTTAAAGATACTAGTTGTTCTATTTTGCATACTGTCAAAGCTTGTGTACAGGTTTCTATTGTGTTTAAGGTTGCATGGACAAAGTTAGGGAGAAGAGTTGGAGTTGAAGCAAGAATGTACTGTCAAAAATGTTCTAAACATTGCATTTATTAAACTTTAATACAAATTAAATGCAAATTTGTATTTAATGTATTTAGGGTACACTATATTTAAGAACGTGTTTTCATTGCTTACGTCAGTAGCCTCAGATGATAATTTGTTGATTTGTTTTCATTACCTTAACCTCCAGCATTTAGAATCAGTGTATAGATATATTTTTCCTGGGTATGAAAGCCACACAGTATCCGTTCATGTAGCTCTATTATGCCAGAAATATCTAATTATACTGGCTGTCGGTATCTAAGCAGCATTTAACACTTTTTTCTTCACACTCGGGGATCCATCTTCTGTGTATCCCAAATAAACGCATTATCATTCCCCCATTTTCTGCCACAAAATAACTGAAGTTTTCATGAGATCTGCTTAGGACACGAAGGAATGTTTTCTTAGATAGCAGTAGGATTTGATCTGGTGACTTTGCAAAGATGTAAAACAAATACAAAGTGGCTTCTTCTGTATGGAAAGATAGTTTACAATGGAATGTTTCTCTATGTTTATTTCAAAACTTAAGCATTGTTTTTTATTTGTTTCTGTTCTGCTATAAAGCTTGTTTTTTGAGAAAAGACTATGCTTCTAAAGACATAACAAAGTCGACTTTGTATAGTAAGGCTTAATTCTGCTGAAAGGGTGAGTCTTGTTCCTTCTCCCCTCCTTTACTGCTCACAAAGCTGTCTGGTGAACTTCTGTGTCAATGCAAGGTAAGTGATGAAGGTATTCAGGCAGGAGCGGGGATGAGGGTAAACAGGGAAGAGGAGGGAGCAGGACCTTCTCATTTCAGCTGTAGCGAAATGAGTGACAGCTCGCTCTTAGATAGTCATCCCCTTAAAGTTTGTGTTGTCTGGACAAATCTCATTCCTAAGTTATGTTCTTTTATTCTTGTTGAATTCTTTCTTTTTGAAGGCTTTTCAGGGTGGAGAGGTTCAAGAGAAGCTGAAAAGAATTTAATCTATTTCTCCAGGTAGAATTCACTGTGCATAGAACTATGGTAGAGCTAATATTCTGATTACTTGTTAGTATGCTGGATGGTATGTGCTATTTTGTTAACAAACTAACGGCTGTCGGCTTTGATCCAAAGATGATCTATTCTCAGTGTTCTCAGAGCACAGGAACAGCACTCTAACTCAAACCTATTTGTCTATCTTAGGTGATAACAAAAAGAGAGAAATAATTCACCAAGGCAGTAGGCTTTATGTCCGAGGCGCAGCTAAATCATGTGATATTTCCCTATTTGCACATTAAGGGAAAAGCTAAACGAGATCAAGGGATCAGATCCATGGTGATTTAAGACAACCAAAGTTGTGGTTGCTGCAATTTATTGTCATTCTTTTGCCTGCAGTAGCACTCATGCAGTGTCTCATTGAACCACTTCATAGAGAGCTGAAGCACCTGAAAACTAATAACCGTTTTGAGGCATTTTTTTCTTAACCTTCTTAGGAGCCCTACAATTGCCTCAGTGCTAGGGTCAGTGGAAGAACAGCCCCAGTTTAGATTGACTTTGGCTATTGTGGAGCTGCCTTCTAAGACAGCAGCTTTCTGTTTCACCTGCCATAATAAAACTGCAAATTGTTGCTAAAAGGGGTAATGCCATTCTCTCCTTTTCTCTCTTGCTGTACCTTTTGCACACACCTGTTTCCTCCATCTTGTTTGCCTCAGATTTAATGGCTTTTATGGCTTTAGGATAAGCCAATTGAGTGAGTTTCTGTAACAAAGCAATTCAGTGGTTTGGTGAGTTAGTTTTAAGTTGACCTACCTTGTCGAACCAATTCATTACATTCGAGCCAAGGTAAGTAGTAGGAGCACATAGCTAGAGTTAGGAGAATGAATGGAGCAGGGCTTGCCCAACTTTGGCATCCCATTAAATACAAGGTGATGAAACACAGCACTTGTTGCAAAGTGTTTGTGAGAAGAAGCCAGGCAACAGAACCTGACAGACATAACTCCTTTGCAATAACCACTGGTGGTAGACTTGCAGGAGAACAGAATTTGGGGTTTGGAGTTGGGGGGGAGGGGAGTGTTTTCTTTCATTTTTTATTATTTAAATTAATCTGACCCTGTTTGCCTCTCATCCAACAATCCTATGAAGCCTTGAACTGTGACAAATTGCTCAAGTTAAGCAGAAAAGAATAGTTATAAAAGACAATAGGTATTTAATTCACAGAAGGACAAAAATGTAACCCCAAAAGGTTATTATGTTTTTGCAACATAGGTTAATGTTTAAAAGTATTAGAAGTAGATAATATTCACTCCATACTTATTTAGGTTTATTTTAGATCACTTACTGTGTAAAAATCATCAAATAATCTTTTAAGTTATTGCAAATAATATAAATCCAAAGTATAGGGATAGATTCTGTATTTCATTAGGTGATGTCAGCTAGACTGATTCCATGTTAAGAATTTTTTTTTTCTGTCTTTCTAGTATAGGCTTCTGTGCTAAACTTGAAGTTTTTAGACTGATTGATTTTGATTTCTTTCCAAGTATAAATATGAATCCATTTGAAGGCCTGAATGTAAAAATTGTAGGCATTTTTACATTCCCATTTGGTACTTCAGTTTAAGGAGTTTTAAATTTAGTTCTTTGGTTGTGTAGCTGAGGCTGCGGAAGGCATTCTTCGCTAAGAGTTGCCTTCTTTTGGTGAAAAGTTCTTCCCTGGAAATGAGTTCTGTTCTCTGATATTTCTCATAGTTTTCTGTTCTTTACTTTTAACGAGACTTTTTCGCCCCATCTGAAGTAACAACATTTGAATATTTTCTTTTTACAAAATGCTTTATTTGATATTACAGCTATTGCTGATTTTTTTATTTTACCCAGTAATATTTTAATAGTTCATCCAGATTTTCCAGTAAGATTTATAACAATCATGGCTGCTGTATTCTTGCTCTTAAAGTGTAAAATACAGCTTAAACCAGGATTTTGAGATATAAACTTTGTAATGCTGGTGTAAGGTTTCAATCTTTAACTTTCCAGCACTGTACTTGAAACCTTATACCACTAAAAAGCAGTTAGATCTCGTTGAATGCTTCTATTGGGGAGACTTGATTTTTAAAAAAAAAATAAATATATTCTAACTTTGTTTCTGGAATTCTTGATCTTAAATCAAATAAGGGAAAAGAGTTCAACTGTCTACTTGGGAAGAAGGAAAGAGTGGCTATACCCCTTTGTGTTTCAGATGAGTTAGAGGTCTGAAGATAACTGGGCTTGTTTACTGGAGTAAGAGTTATGTACAGCTATACACACAATAACAGTTAAAACCTACAGTTTTTAAAAGTGCATGACAGACAAGTTTGCTTATGCTAGAGTTTTGCCATTCAGTCTCCAAAAAACCTGAAATACATCAGAAATTTGTACTCAAAAATGTCATGACTGCCGTCATGAATAGTTGTATGTTAGATAGAAATGTTTTAAAGTTAACAATTACCCAGTTTAAGAGCGTTAGTAAATGTTTTCAATATGAAACATATGTTTCATTTTCTACTTCAGTAATTAACTTTTCTTTTATCCAGTTGTATGACTTTCTTGTAGATCCCCCATTGTTCCAAGGATGGATTAAATGCAGTCAGAGGGGAGCCCTGATTTGATAGATGTGATAAATTCTGCTAGAGTAGGGATGTCCTATTATAGAGACTTTTCAGTTGGACATGGATAATGCTCTGCAAATCTCGCTAGCCTAATTTAAAGTTTTGATACTCTACTGTTTTAAATCCTTTCTTTGGTAATAAAGTTGATGTTTTCAAACATAATTTAAAATACATATTTTTATCTTATTTGGCCAAATTGTGTAATTTTTAGCCATGCATGATGAAATCCTCATCCTTTTGACTCTATAGGACGAGTCAGGAAACCACATTGTGTATTTACTCTTTGTATTTTATATTGGTGTAATTCAGTATAGTTTGCCATTCTCAGTTCTTGAACAATCTTAAGCTGTTTAGTAGGACGTTAAAATGATGATTTTGATATTTACATTTTACATATCTTTGTTCTCTTCTTTGAGCATTAAATTAAGCATGTAGTTTAATATTTAGGTTCTTTACATTTATCAAAATGTTATATCTGAATTTATTGAGGACTTTAATGAAATAGTATTTTCTTTCAAGTTTGGAAATTTCTTCATTTATTTTAAAGCTGACTTTTCTTCTCCTTAGCTCACTGGCTAGCAGTTTTGCCATGGGTCATAAATGCTTCTTTGCTTCTCTCCTTTTAAGTTTCTTCAAAGACTTCAGCATATGCCTAATTTTATGACTTGTGTCAAGTTACACACACCAATAAGCTGTGGTGTGATCAGGTTCTTAAAACACTTGTTATAGAAAAGAGGAGGACACATGCAAAAATACTCATTTTTAGTCTAACAAATGTGTCATGCTGGTAGAACTGAAAAGGTTTGAAGATGAGAATTTTACTTGTGGCAGACTCCCACCCTATCCTATGAGTCTTTAGCATGGTGTAGCATGGTATGGCCTTGTCCATGTCATGAGTCAGTGGTTGTATGTGAGGTCCTTTAAAGTCTCTTCCTATGTTTCACAGTGTCTCTGCCAGAGTCATTAGCCAAGGACTTGACTGGACTGAATTCCTTGCTGTATGAAGGAATTCCTATGTGACCTAAAGGCTCTGAATTTTGGACTGTGACTCATTCATCTGTCTCAGTGAAGGGACTGGCTGTCTACAGAGGTGTGGCAGGTGGGAGCAGCAATTACTTTGGCTGTACTGATTTTTGCACAGTTATATATGTAGTAATGTTTTCAGTGAATCATTCAGTCTTGTATTTAGACCTCCTAAATTTATCCAGGTCTGTTTCTTTTTGGTTGAGTTTTGCTTTGGGTTCAGCTTCACTGTAATTTTGATCTATAACATGAAGATACCAATTTACTTCTTGTGGAACTGTTGGAAGATAATCATTAACAGGTGCAAGGCATTCAGATATTGTGAGGGTGGCGATGTAAGAGCTAGAGAGATTCCCTAGATGGGAGTCGGGCTTTGGAGATCTCTTTACATGCTGTGAGAAGTCCTATGGTGGACTCATCTTTGTGATATTTAAAAAAAAAAAAAAACAAAAAAAACCCCGAAAACTGTACAGCTGTTACTCCTAGACTCTATCTAAAATTTATCCACGTTTGTAAATCTCAGCCCTGGACTACTATGCAATTTATCAGATTGATTAAGAAAAATGAATAGAATAGTATTGAAACTCTAGTGGCCACATTTATCTCTAATCTAATGGTACTCACTTTTTCCTGTCTCTGGAAAAGTTGCATGTTCTTGCTGCTGGCTTTCAAGGACTCATGTCTTTGGCTGCTGAAAATCTGTGCATTGCTGTTCTTCTGGAGTACTCACGGAAAGGTAACTGGCTTTACATTTACTTTTTTCAGGAGAATGGTACTTCTATGAGTTTGGATTTTTCTCTTTTCCCTTCTGTGTTTATTCCCTACATCTGTCTCTTAGAGGTATATTAATCACAGAGGCATTAATTGTTCTAGTCTAAATCTAGGATACTGAATATTATGATCCCTGCTATACAAAGTCATTTGACACTTCAGATATTTATTTAAATGATTTTAGATATTTCTTGCTCACACACGGTCACAATTATTTCCTCTAAACAGTTTCCTTGCAGTTTCAGACACAATGTATTGCACCTTGGCTAGTAAAGATTTTTATTGTTAAGCTTAACCATAAGATAGTCAGTGACTGTAATTGCTTTTTTGAAGACCATTATGATAGTGCCCAGTTTAGCAAAAGACATCAACTAGTTCAAGCAGTTTAGTGATCATATTAACCTTCCCTCCTAAAGAGCTAGGTTTGATTATTAATGTTGACATGTGTGAGGAAATAAAAAAAAAACATGGCTCAGAACTAGTTTATTCTCAAAGTTGGGGAGAAAGCTTTTTGTAAAATATAAAATTAGCATTTGATAGAGACATAACAAAATATTCCTGATTATCTCTTTTTATCTTTGTATTATTTTATTATAAAATGTTTTCATTTATATTTAGGTGATTACTTCCAAATGGTTCTTCCAGAAACACTTCGATGACTACCTGTAAAATGTTAGCTGTACATTCTTGTTAACAAAACTTTGAAACATTTAACATCTTCAGGTAAAAACAGCTTCTTCCTTGAAACACATTTACTAAGCTTCTGAACCTATGTGACCAAATAATTGTTTTCAGCTCCTTTAGAATAAAGGGTTTACTTCAGATGTAAAACCTTGGAATTACAGACAGCAGCGGATGATTGAAAGTGACATCAGTCAACTTGATTTCTGTAACTGTCTAAAAATGTTAAAGTTCTTAACAGAGTATCCTCTAAGTAAGTCAAGACTGAAAAAAAAAAATCTCTGAACTTACATACTCCAGAATTTTTAAGTCTTCTGATGTTATACAGAAACTAGTAATTCCTCACTTGAGCAGTAAGAAATTAAATGATACACAAGGCAGGGACTGTGTAATTACTGATAAAAATATATAAGTCTGTTTTTGTAAGTGCTTTCATATTTTCTATTTCATACAAGTTGATGGTACATCTTTAAATGAACAAGGCTGTGTATTGTATTTTAATGATATAACCTCATTTTTACCTCTGTGCTTCGTTCTCAAGGGCTTTTTTTGAATAGCTGGGCATAACTGATGTTGTTTTCCACTGATCGGAAATTGAATGAGAATAATTATTAGTGCACTGGTTTTTTTTGTTGTTGTTGTACTGCATTAACTGCATGGTTTTTTGAGGTGACAATTCACTACAGAACTCTGTCCTGTGCAGTTATTTCAGTGATTTTTTTGTGCATTTGAACTTGTGGCCAAATCTGAAATTCAAAGATTAATTAAATGAAAAAAAAAGAAGCCCAAGATGATTTTTTATAACCTTTTTTTTTCCTCTGTCAGAAAACATTGATTGCTAGTAGCTTTTAATTTGAGCAAGAAAACTAAAGATTTTAAAATAAAATGTGCCTGTTTTGGGTAATCTATTAAATACAGATAGCAGTTAAAGAAAGATGTGTGTAGAACATTATAGTTAATGACCTGTATTCTTTCACCAAAGTGGTGTAGGTTCTGTTACCAAGTCAAAGATACCCACCTAGAATTTTACAGGTTACTTGCAGACCTTCAAATCACTGAATCATATTTACTCTTTTGAAAATCTTTTAACAAGCTGCTCTACCGTCTCAAAACCCACTCCCTTAGAAACATATATCTAATTTCTTTTGAGGATATATGTAGTTGTATGTATATCCAATAGATTTTTTTTTTTTAAGAAAATTGGATTAACATCTCTTTTTCAAAATATGTATAAGTCCTGATTTTCTAAAGATTATAGGGTATCCTTGATCTATCTCTTAAGAATGCTGAATATTGCTGACTGTAATCTTTTCTGTATTTTATGTGGGATACTTTTACTAGAAATTATTCTAATTCAGTTTGTAGGTATCCTGTTAGTTCTCAGAAGTAAGGTGGATGAGAACAACGATAAATGAAAAAAGGAAAAAAAAGATTTTTGAAGTAACATTCTTAGAGGGAACACCATTTCTGAGCAGTCAGAGGTATAATGTTTAGGTAAGTTAATTCAGTTGCCATCTGAGAGAACTGAAATTGAATGTCTGAAATATAAGACAGGAGACAAACAAATGGCAATAAAGAAGCTGAAATTGCTATGGGGAAGATCTTGTGATAAGAGGAATATTCAGAAATCAGATGGTAGAAGTGGTATGTGAGGATGAATCTGAAAGGCCTTCCCAAGGAGGAGTTATCTTATATAGTGTTCCAAAAAAAGAAAAAACTGTCACCAGATGACTAGTTTTGACTTTGATAGTGATGCCATTCTTGAGTTCTTACTGAAGTATACAGGCAGAATTATTTAAGCAGATCAGTGCTTTTCTGTATCTGTACTTTAAGAATAAGGCCTTATCTGGAGACTTAAAATATTCCAGATTTGATTGGAGAATTCTGTGTGTATAAAGTGCTTGACTATGAAAAGAATGAAATAGGCTTGTAGGAATATCTGTAGATTATGAACATGTGATTGGAAAATGTATTGCATATTGCAAGAATTTACATGCAAACTTTCATGTTTTGGTGGGGGTTTTTTTGTCTACTTTAACTTGCACTGATTAATCAATATTTTTCAAAATACCTCTTGCAGGTGTAGGCTTAAAAAGGGCAGTTAGTTTCTTTAAATTGTGTCCCATCTGGCTGTTGTGCGTCTCACTTCTGTTGTAGAAGTTCAGAGCCCACAGGAACTCTGAGCATGGGTTTTAGAAATAAAAGCAAATTAAATGTGAAATCTAAAAGTTGATGGAAAATTTTGTCTTCTCTCTGTGCTTACCCTCCTCTATTTTATTTTATTACTTACTAATTTATTTACCTTTTGGCCCTGATGTCGTCTTTTATATGCTGAAACATGTTCCCTCTTAAGTCAAAGTGCTTCTGTTCCGTAGAGCTGGGTTAACAGGCCTGTGAAATCAGAGTATAAATTCCTCAGCATTTGAACCTTTGAAAGCCGAAATACTGTGACAAAGTCCAGAGTCGCTGGAGCCTATTAGCAGGGCTGTTAGCTTGTGGTGAAAGCAGCGTACCCCGAAATGTCAGGCAGCGGGGCTGTTGCCGAGAGGTAATTAAGAGCAATTAGCCGGTCTCCCTGCTGGGCAGATCGCTATTACCTTTCTCCTCTTTGCCCCCCCCCGCGCTGCCGCTGCAGGGCAACGAGTCGTGGCAGTGATGATGCCCTGAGAGCGTGTCCGTGTCCGTGTCCGTGCGGGCGGCGGAGGCGCGGGGCCGCGCTGCGCCCCGGCCCCCTCCCCGCCCC